AGAAGAAAGGGAGGGAGGAAAAGAAACGAAAAAAATGTTAGGCAAAAAAAAATCTCAAATGAATACAAATGTTATAGAGAAACAGTGGAGCACTAGATGTTATACACTGTGACCACGTGCCTGCAAAAATACCAACCAAATACGGTCTTCTGAGGACACAGCTTATGGTCAGAAGCTCTAACATACGCTCCTTCGTCCAAGTAACAGTGGCACTTCGCCGTCTTCACTCAGACAGCCAGGCCTTTTACCTGTTTCCCCCCGTCTGGTCTGATCGAACAGACCTCTATGCAGTGTCCCTTACCCCACGTGAATGGGAATGCCATCTGGAAGTCTCTCCACAGTCTTTGATGTTTAGTAACTGCAGACTCCTACACTGTTCGCCAAATATTCGCAGACACACTAAAGCACCAACTCATCTTTTTAAAAAACTAATAATTAGGGCTTAGAAATCTGGGGAAATGAGCCAAGTTTAAAAGGGGAAAAAAAGGGTCCCATTATTGATTTCATATCATTTCATGGCCCTTTAAGAGGTGGGGGGAAAAAAATCAGTGACTAAGAAAACTTAAATCTTAGAATCCCTGAAACTCTTAGGATAATACACGATTTTATTTAACCATAGCTTTTATTTACCATATTACTAGAGACATCGTTTTAGACAATTTTATAGAAACTGATAAACAAGTCAGCCCTGTCCAAAACCTGGCAGTAAGGTGTTTCAAAGAAGTTGTCTATTCATGTCACCCTGCATGGCCTGCACAAAACTGACGGCTTCGGAGTGCACATCCAGGGTCTGACTTGCATTTGACTTCTGTCAGACTTGTCATGGAGTTGAGAGGGTTAAAGGTCCATACACAGATCGGGTTTCCAGACACCTGCAATGCGGGCCCCCCAGAGGTCCCTCACATTCTAAATCCAATCTGAGTTTCACCCCTTCCTTGTTCTTTTTTTCCTTACACCCTAAGACTCTTGCACTCGACTTCTGGACAGCAGAAGGGCACTCTGTTCCACTGCAAAGGGCAGCACACCAAACAACTCGACTACTCTACTTCTGAACTCCACCTAGCTTCCTGAGAAAACAAAGCTCTCATGCAGAAGTCAGAAGTGGATTGCCAGCACGAGGGGCTTGTGTTAGAAGTCTATATGCAAACCAACCACTCGGGAACTGCGGGAGGGATTCGTGGATTCAGCAGAAACTTATCAGAAAACAAACACATTTTATTCTCTTCAATGACCATCTTTAATGTTCCCAGAGAAACTCGTGTGGTTTGGATTCACTTGTCTCAGAATTATAACTAAAACTAAACCAAGCAATTGCAAAAAATTGTAACTCACTAGACATCTTGAGCCAGATAACCTACACCAGATGCTAACTGTGACAACAGACTTATTGATATGTTTAAGACAACTGAAATAAGAGGGCAGAAATGGTTATGTTTGTTTATCTAGTGTCCAGAATACTACTTGACACTTAATGGGTAATCCACAAATTGAGAATTAACTCAACTATTTTCTGTAACTAGACACTATTTTTACTTTCACGGAGAAGAAATATTACAAACCACAAAAGCAAGTGAAAGGCAACGATCACAAAGGAACTGATAACCTAACAGTATTTCAAGCGCTCAACAGAGAAGACCAGGAGGTGCCTCCATACCCCACAGTACTCCTCACACACTCACGAGGACAAGATGCCGCCACACCCTGCGTGTCCATCACACACTCACGAAGACAGGTAGAGTGTTTCTGTTCACTCGAGTACTCGCTACACACTCATTGCTACAAGGGAGACAGCTGCTGACACATGAGTGCAAATTAACCTCAGATGCATCAGGTCAAGTGAAAGAAACCAGACTCTATTCACAGGACGCTCTGGAAAAGCAGGGCCCACATGGAGAGACAGAGAATGTTTTGGTGCTGATTGCATAGCACTGGACACTGACAAGAACCAATAGAACTAGTCACCAAAAGAATGCACAAAATGTTCACTATACCAAATTCCCTTAGGCTCTCGTCAATTCGGCAGATAATCTTCTTAGTTAAAATGAAGAAATACAGTAAAATGGACTAAAAGTTTGTTTATGTTGTCAAACATAGTAAAAAGGACTAAAAGCACATTATTGATGTATTTCACATTCCAATTTTAAAGTATCATTTTTGTCTAAATGAGATGTCCTTTTTCATAGTCTATTGTTTAAACTTTAAATAAGTTAAATCTATATAAATGATTTAATGTTACTGCAAATAATTTGACAAATTAATCTTTAAAAATATTTCTTTGTATTTAAAATATTTTAGAATTTTGGAAAATTTTATTGCCATACATATATAAGAGGGAAACTTATATTATTCTAAATCAAATAAATAAAGCTGAAGCTAGCTGTGTGCCTGTAATTTCAGCATGAGGGAAGCTGATTGTAAGGCCAAGGCTTGCTGAAGCTACATAACAAGACTCTGTCTCAATACAAGTATACATTTTTTAAAAAGGTTAAATTGAGCTTGAATTTTTGTCATATTTTGAATTTGTCAATGTAGTTATATACATATTTTACATCTACAAAAAGAGAGGCATTCTTTTCTGCACAGTTTTTAGAGTGCCCAAAATTATTATTTAAATAACCTGTTTT